GTTGTAAATGAAGCAAAAATCGAAAATAAATTCATCACGCTCATTTACACTAAGCATTTAGCGTAATGTAACACTTACTACGTTACCTCAGGCTAAACCAGTGCGCACTAGTTTTGCTGGTGCGGTTATGTTTTTTTTGCACAGTTCCCCACAGATGTTTGTTGCTAAGTAGCGCTGTTTATCGAGCACATACTTGCTTAATTTTGAAATCGCTTTCCCACCAAAAAATCTTTCAAATGTTCGTATGTGGGAAGCAGGAGGATGTCCTAGGTTCCGCACGTACGTGTGTTGCCAAAGTCTCGGCTTTATATCTTTCATAGGTTTTGTAGTCGAAACAAGCCGACAGAAACACGAACATACACAGACAATCCCCCTTTTACACTGCATGAACGGAAAAAACGTCAGTATTAAAAATATTGAGACTGATAACAGTCACTGGAGGAAAAAAAAATTACTGGAGCATTGGTTCAAAAAACTTTTGCACTTTGAAAAATTTCAATTATTTTAGGAATTTGTAAGGAAAAGAACTCTGCAACAATCAGCTAAAAAATATATTTAGAAGGGTTAAAAGAAAAGCTATTACCGAAGCGAAGACCCATTCGTAGATTGTTCGGCAGTTATTATGAATGATACCATCTGAGCCAATATCATTGCAGTTATTCGACCACGCTCCTGTCGAATAGTAAGCTTCGATGAAGCCAAGGATTATGTAGCAGATACATGCAACCAATGAAAACATAAAGTCCTGCAAAAAAAATTATTAGTGTCCTTAATCAAATAAATCCAAACATTGGGTGTTTTGCCTGTTTCTCCTTATCGCTAGCTTATTTTGGAAGGATCTATGAAATTCTCGCTTCCCAGTTCCTTTGTGCTTCTGCAGATCTATGTAATTTTTCTCATTTCTTAATCTTTTTTCGTACTTTTTTGTTTCCTCCATCACCGTTTTACTTTTTGTCTCGTTTTTACTTTTTGTGTAAGAAATTTTGGAAATTTTACGCAAATTATGCATTGGCTATTAAAAGTGAGAGAAACTTATTACTAGAATGCCTACAAATCATGAGACGAGAACATTTTTAAGCTACAAATGGTAAGCTTGCAGCGTTCCGTAATGAGCTCCGGTTGTTGGTAGCCTCATCACTTGGGTCCAGCCAACTCATGATTTTCGCACTGTTTCAAGTACACCAGCCTATTGATAAGCTCCTGTTGCGATACAGTTCATATTTTTAGTTTAAATTTCATGGCAGGACTTACCGATAATTGCCAGGGCCAAAAATCGAGATGAGTTTCGTGTAAGTCGAACAGAAAGACGATCAGAAATATAAATGAGAAGCAAACCGCAACCCCAGCAAAAACAAGTAGAAATGTTTGACCAAAGAGAACTCCTCTGAATGGTCCGGGGCCGTACACTGAGACTATCAGTGATATTATCATTAAGCCCACTATCTGCAATTTTTCATCATAATTAATGATAATGATAATGAAAATATTGGTAGTAGTAATGATAATAACAACAATACCAATAACAATGATAATAATTATTGAGACGGTTGTGATAAATAGGTTCTTGTACACTAATTTTTACGGAAATACCTCAAAATTAATAAAATGGAAGTGTAACTGAGTGCAAATGTAATGAGGACGAGAAATGAAAAAAGAAAAAAAGGAAAACAGTAAGGAATACAAAATGTGGAAAAAATGAAAAAACCCAGGCTGGAACGCA